ATCGGGGCTATCACAGTTCCAGCACTTGCGTTGGAATCTGGTACCGGATCCCCCTGAGCCAGAGCTGCCAGAGTTGGCATTGAATGCGCTCTGTTTGGCCTTGGTCTTGGTAAGCCATCCCTTGTCGCTCTGCTTGATCCGACGATACATGTTCTTAGCTTGGTCACATATCACCTTGATCTCAGGCCAGATAGGGGTACTTCCACGACAATCAGCTTCAGCTTTGACTTCTTCAATCCTCTTGATGAAAGCCTTGTTGAACTCAGGGACACTGGAGGTTGCCAGAATGTGGAGCACTTTCTCTGAGAAGTCTGAGGGTACATAGTTCATCAGGTCATTGGAATTGGAATTGGTCTCAAGCAAGGTGTAGACGGTGGATATCTTATTCACCACCACATCCACATCTTCCATGGAGATGTCCTTGATCTTGAGGGAATTCAATGACTCTCGCACATTTTGTATGGCACTCTGGGATGTCCTCTGGATATGACGATACAACAGAGCAAACAGCAAAGGCCCACCATGACAGGTCTCAGGCCAGCTGTTGTACTCAGGTAGCACCTTCTGCAACAGTTTGGAGTCTGTGTTGTTCTGCAGAAGAGTGAAGGTGAGGGACATGTTTTCACTCACATAGGGACAGGTGCTTACGCGCACACAGGAATTATAGAAGTAGTTGCTCAAAGCCACAGCCTCAGGTGTGATCTTGGGAGCATACTGTAACAAATCCATTGGTTTTCCTTCTGTCTTCGAACTGTAGGTGAAGCCGAACTCTTCATCCTTTGGAGTCACAATTTGGAAGACATCCAACAGGTCGAAGTGTTTCATGTGAGTCCTAAGGAGCTCGAACTTGCGGTCAGACCGCTCAACAGCCGTGATGAGACCATTGGTGTCGAGGTCAGTAGGTTGCTCAACTAGCTTGTTGTCCTTTCCTAGAACGGTGTAGGATGTTGCCTTATTGATGAAGGTTTTGCGGCCTCGTGGTCGAAGTGAATCCTGTCCGCTTTGTTCCACCATCGAGATGGAGTTTGCGGGTGAGGAACCAGTTCAATCTCGATGAGGCGTCCGTCAACAAGGAGGTGATCAACGTACAGGGTCAGGTGTAGGTGGATTAGCATCACCACCACCCACCACCACCGGAACCAGTTGTATTTGGAGCGGGAGTCGTGGTCGTACCGGCCGGATCAAGGCTGTTTCCACCAGCAGGAGCTGGAGCTGGCGAGGCAGCCGGAGCTGGCGTCGAAGCAGGTGTTGGAAGCTTCCAGGATCCGACGTGACCAATCGGAGGTGGACGTACAACCGGGGTAGTACTGACAGCTGATGGAGCAGTCTGCGGGGGAACGCGAGGCGTTGCTGGAACAGACGCTGGGGTCGTTGTGCGTCACTATGAGCTTGAGTTTGCGCAAATTGTACAGCGCGAGCCGTTCCGTGGGAGTTGTAACGGCGGTAGCTCGTCAACAACGGGGTCCTAGGAATTTGCATGCTCAGGCGACGGGATCGTTCTTGGAATTCGAGGTCGCTCATACCAAACATACCGGAAGACCTACGTATAGCACGATAAGGTAGCGGTGTCTGGTTGTTGTAGTTTGGTCGTCATGGTGATTTGTTGTTGTTCTAGTCGTTTTCTCGCTGTGTGCTAGCTCGATTTCGCGTCGAAAACATCACCTTGTTCAGGATCTTCTGGTGAGATCACGGGGTGTCAGATTGACCAGGAGGTGTCACCAGCTGCAGCTAGCAGCCGTCTCCTGACCCAATCCGATGGCTAGGATCGAGATTGAGCTGTTCTTCGTGTCAGCAGCGTCATTGACGTACCACTGCGCGAATGAGAGCTCAGTCAATCTACCCTTAAACGGTAGTTAGAACAGTCACATCGCCATCTTGATGTGCTGGATACTTCACGCTGAGTTCGAATTTCCAGGAGAAACTCGAACTCGAAATCCATCCGCTTTACCACGGCGGAGTGGATCAACAACACCATGTTGTTGTTGTCATCTTCCAAATCGCATCGTCCCGTCATTGCAGCTCGATGTGGGTGTAAGCGCAGATTACGGCTTCGCCCTGCTCTACACTACGCGATATCTTACTGCGAGAACGATGACGCTTTGGGCTCATAACCTACGAACTGAGGTCGATGTGAAGGATGACATGGTGGGGAGTTCGACGTAAAAGTATGAACTAAAATAGAGGGGAATTACGCTACGAGGTAGATCTTCATTAGGGTTGAGGTTGATCTCGATGTGTCAACGCGATCACATCTCGCAGGAGATGCTAGTGTTGCGTGCTTACCAGGGCAGATTGTGTCGCTTTGGTCCAGGAACTTCATCTAATAGCTGGCCACGTATTTCAGTAGCCTGCCAAACGTCATGCACCCTACGCGAGATTATGGGGGGGTTAGGCATGAGCGCGGGGGAGGGAAAAAGAAGAAGAAGAGGGAGAGGGTTAACCTTTAAATTCCTGATTCCGAATCGGGAGCCTGCAGGGCAAAGAAGAGACACCAAGTAGTCTACCGGTACATACAATAAAGAGGGGAAATGGCAATGACCTGGTCATCGGCCCCTCCTCCGTTAAATCTCCTACATCCGAAGAACAATGTATATGTCAGCAAATACGTCACAGGAATTCAAACGAAATCTGCTCTTTTCCCATCCTTTGCTCGGACCAAACCCTCCCACTCCAACTTGACTGCAGCGGCCAAGAAAGGAAAACCTTTCCAAACTGGTGTGATTTCAATGAGGATGGCTTTCTGCTCTGAACCGGAGACGGTCGGATTGAGTGAGGCTTGATACGAATGGATACGGATCGATCGACGCCTGTCGCACTTGTAGAGAGGGATCCAACGCTTTGGTCGTGATATAGAGAGCGAACGGAACGAAGTAACTCCTCCGGAGTAACAGCCACTCCTCCTCTTTTGTTCATTATTTCGATACTCTATCTTTACTCTAGTCTATCTTTGTTACTCTATCAAGATGATATTATCTCACCCTTTACAGCGGCTGCTCCTCTTGAAGAAGGCTCCACCATGACAGGCTCCTCTTATTTGGCTATACTGGAAAGCGGCAGAGCAGTGGAGCCTCCGCTCGACGGATCGGCGGATCGATCGATGACTTCTTCTTTCACGGAGCGACCATCGCTGGTGCACTGGAGCGACCATTACGGCACTACCGCTAATGCAACAGCAACAGCAACCGACTATTTCTGGAGCGATAAGCGATGCCTCGTCAATGGCAACAAAATTTTCTTCCTTGCGGCGGATCGATTCCATTCAACAACAACTTGCTGGGCTATTTTGTCTTGAAGTCAGTGCCTACGTGGGTAGGGGCAAGGCTCTTGGCAACAACAACAACAACTACTACTAAAACAACAATTTGCTGGGCTATTTTGTGGTGAGAACTGGTCCCACAAGAAATTCACGGCAATGAGTGCTCCACATATTATCGGCCGATGGTTGGCTTGCCATACCCATCAAGTTTTATTTGGCAATTTTCATCATGTGGCGGCCTTCCAGATCTTCTGCTCAACCAGTTGATATAAGGTAAGCAGCATCCTTGTACCTGTGGTGGCTGTGGAAAAGGAAGAATTGGATGCAATTGTTGTTGTTGCTGCATTTGGATTGCAACTTGCATCATTTGAATCTGTTGTTGTTGTTGTTGTTGCTGAATCAATAATGCTGCATGTTGCTGTTTTTGCCAAGGAGCCACATTGTACATTGGTGAAGGAGTTAAAATCAACTGGCAAAACATGGCTGGCACATTTGGTTTCGGTGCAATCGGTGTGAGTTCATCAATTGTACTTGATTGTGCTTGTTGTTGTTGCTGCTGCTGCTGCTGCTGCTGCATGGATTGCACCATGGCTGTGAGTTCATGGATTTTTCCATGGAGCATTTTGATCTCTTTGGTTAGCTCATTGATGCTTTGGTCTCGTGAATCTGTGAAATACATATCTGTCACTGCCATTGGCTCTGTTACTGCCATTGCCTGGATGGGGTTGTTGTTCTGTTTTCGCGAAACACGAAAATGGCGACTAGGTAGCACATTTGCTCTGTAATCTTTATAAACGGTACGTTAAGTATATTTGAATCTTTGCTGACGCATTTGCTGATGTCATAGGTCGATTAGCCAATCACATTACTGCCTTCTACCCCTTTCGCCCTCCCTTCCCGCTACGCAAACAAGCAATCGCCCAAAGCAATGACAAGATGACAAGATGCCTTCTTTAGAAAGCCACTGCAAAACCCGAGCAACAACTCTGGAAAATGAAAGGTGAGCCATCTACAGTGAAAAATCTACAGTGAAAAAAGGTTCAGTAGTGACGTTGGATTCGATTCTTATTGTTGGTGCGCTTCTGTTAACCCACAAGCAAGGTTTCCGGTGCTGAACTTTCAAGACGAGCCCCAATATCTCAGAAGGGTGATGGTTTATACAACTCAAGCACATCGGAAAACACATGTAGATTTGCCGAATTCGATGCTGGGATCAAGCTCAGGGGATTGTCATTCCATTGAGTTGCTTGCAGGTCCCGGTATAGCGGTACCTCAGAACGATGAATGTTTTCCCCCTTCAATTCTCGGTTTCTCAGATGCTAGTAGATTAGTGGTACCGGTGCGTGGAAGGAACACAGTTACTACATGCCTGCTGCTTCCCGCGCCGCTTTTTCACGCAACCTATCCTTTTTGGACTTGCGTTTTCCTTTGATGCCCCCAAACATGCGATCGTGGGCTAAATCGTTATTGGAATGCCCCGCACCAGGAGTCCTCATTCTGGCTCCTTGGGCTTGGACTGACCACGTGGCTTCATCTACCTCGAACCCGGGCAACATTTCGCGTTCACAGCGTCGCTCCAAGGGAATGTGTCGTTTCTCAATGACATCGTAGTGTGCCTCGGTTAACGGCGTCACCAAGGAAATGGCATCTCCTTTGCGACCGGCTCGTCCAGTTCGTCCAACTCGATGCACAAAGTCGGCTTTGAGAACGCGTACGAGGGGTGAGATGGATGATGACCACTACTGACAACGCCGACACGAACAAAGCAATCAATCTTCTTACCAGTGGACCGCGGCAAATCATAGTTGATGACAGCGGACAATCCGACCACATCCAATCCTCGACTGGCCAAATCGGTTGCGAGCAATACCTGTATTTTCCCCGATTGCAAGTCACGCAATCGTCGTTCCCGCGCTTCCTGATCCAATTTGCCATGAAGTTCGCTGGATCGTATTCCCACCCGTCGCAGTTTGCGCGACACGTGTTCGGCCGCATAGCGCGTGGCCACAAATACCAATACACCCCCCGTCGTCCAATCGTTCTCTTTCTCTTTCCATAGTTGTTTGAGTGCCGACGTTCGATCTCGTTGGTCGACTCGAATGGTTCGTAGTTGAATGGTGGATTCGGGTCCCACTTGCGCCAGGACTTTTCGCTTGCTTAGTTGTCGCTCAAGTTTCTTTTGCAGTGTGGCCGATACGGAATCGTCCATGATGCGATCGGCGTTGGTGCAGGAGATTTGCACGGTGGACGTTTGGCCGAGTCGTTTGAGGACGGTATCGACCCGAGGTTCAATGGATTTTGGAAAGGTTGCCGAAAAGAGCCACGTTTCCACCGTTGATTCACCATGACACAAGTCCAAGACTTGATTGACTTCAGTTTCAAAGGCTCTGCTCAAAAGCCGGTCTGCTTCATCAATAACCAAATACTGTAACCCTTCAAGTAAATTGCCGAGCGTCTGTCTTCCTTCGTCGTCATGTCGATCGAGTTTCAAAGTCTGAATCTGTTCCAAACTCAGGGAATCCTTGGAAGACGCCTCTAGTGCCTGCAAGAGGCGTCTTTCCAATGCGGCCTCGGCAGCATCTCGAATGTCATTGTCCTCCATGGTGTCCTCGTTATCGTCGTCATTACTAGTAGTAGTAGCAGCATCCGCAACTGTAGGAGGATTGTATCTTGTCAATAAATCTACCAATCTTCCCGGCGTGGCAACGACAATGTCCGCCGATTCTCCTTGGACTGTCCACCCGGCCAAAGTGGCAATTTGATCGTCGCGTCGTACACCGCCCGTCACCACCATGATATTACACGGATCCATCATGTAGGATGCCAATTCTTCCACCACGGATCCAATTTGAAGTGCCAATTCTCGCGTGGGACACAAAATGAGCGATCGAATGGCCGGTGGCGCTGTGTCACTTTTTTGGATTCGTCGTTGATCTTGACGATCCTGTACTAATTTCTGCAACAGTGGCAATACAAAGGCCGCCGTCTTGCCACTTCCCGTGGGGGCTTCGCACCAAAAGGCTTCGTCGTGGCTCTCCAAGAGTTTGGGAATGGCCAATTGTTGAATGGGAGTGGGCAAATACCAACGGTCTTGTGATTCAATCGCATCTATTGCCGATCGACAGAGACCCAAGTCTTGAAAGTAGACGGGTTGATCGTCGTCATTATTATTACTAGTTTCATCATCCGCAACAGCGTCTTCCGCCGAAGCAGCCGTCAAACGGTAATTACGCGTCCTGTCCTGGAACAAGGGACGAGCAATTCCAAAGCTCAAGGTCTCCCGACAACAGTGCAGCAGTAGCAGAAGCAGCAATCCTAGTGGAATCGAGCTATGCATAGTAGATTGTATCATTCTCTTCCTGTTGGTTGTGGATTGGACTTGGATGGAAACAGAAGAAAAATGGAAATGTTGCAAGTTGATGGCTGGGACGCTTCGGCGTGTGACGTCAAAGAGACACCGTGACTCCAATATCTTTTGTATTCGTGACTCGAGCAGAGTATCTTTTTGGCTTCCGTTTTGAAATGCGGAACACCTCCTCCAAACTCAACTCTCAAGGCTTCCCCACCGGTATCATGCAGATCCAGGATCCCGCGATAATTAGACGCGACTATCACTCGGAGCCACACCCATCAAGACTTCTGTTGCTACGATCTAACTTCCACCGGTACCTTTTTGAAAATTTATTTGAGGAAGCACAACTCTTGTTGGCATTATCCATATTCAAGTAGTGCTACTGCAGAACAAAGAAATTGAAGCCACACCATGCCCAAGTTCCACATCCTCGTAGCATGCCGCGACCTCAAGAATGACGATGGTTCCTCGGCCAAGGTCTCCATCATCCGCGCAGACTCCGATGAGGAAGAAGATATTGGAAAGACCAGCGAGTAAGTCAGGAACTACTCGTACCGTACTGTACAAGAAATACAACTGCCGAAAGCGTCAATCTCACCTATTTCTTATTTTTTAATAGACTCCTGGGAGAAGCACCCGTGTTTGACGAAATGCTGGAAGTTGAGTGCAACAATCTCGACGGCGATATACTCAAGGTGACCTTATTGGATGAAAATGATCAAACGCGAGGCGTGGGCACCTTTAACATTGCCGAGGTCCAACAACACGAAAAGAAACTGGGGGTCTTGAACATGTCGGCCGGTCGTGGAACCATCGTGGTGCATGTCGCAGAAAAGGTACAAGAAGGAGCCTTGAGACTCATCCTCAAGGGCAAGGATCTCAAAAACACGGAAGGATTCACTAATTTGAGGAAACCAGATCCCTTTTATGTTCTCAGTCGGAAAGGAGATGGGGACGATGAATGGTAAGTCACAAACATGGACCACATTGTAAAGATTGATGTCCAATAACAATTGCCTCAGCACAACACAATCTCTTGTATGTTTTGTTTTGTTTTATTTTATTTTCCACCTCGTAACAACAATTTGCCACACTTATTGATTGAAACAGGACCAAAGTCTTTGATTCTGGTGTGGTCAAGAACAGTTTGGATCCAGAATGGACGGAATGTGAAATCGACGTCAAAGAACTTTGCAGTGCCGACTTTGATCTTCCTCTGAAACTGCAAGTGTTTGATGAGGAACGTGGTGATACTCATGTCATTATAGGATCCTGCTTCATCACAGTCAATGAACTCCTCGCCATGGGTCCCAATGACGGCAAAGATATTGCCGAAAAGGACGAGAAAACGGGCGAGCTATTCGTGGATGGCTGTGAGCTCGCCGGAGCGTGTGTCAACAGCACAAATGAAATCAAAACGTTCTTTGCTGCGGTCGGTGATGCCCTCAAGGCAAGATCAGCTGCCAATAGCAAACTCGAACAAATTGAAACACTCAAAGAAGAAGCTGCCGCGGCCAAAGAGGCTGCCGAAAAAGCGCAAGCAGAAGCCGAACAAAAGGCGCAGGAATTGGAGGCGGCAGAAGGAGAACTAGAAAGTGTCGTGGCAGCAGCAGAGGCTGCAGAGGAAGTCATTGGTGGTCTGGAATGAAATAGTTAGAAAGAGTCAGTTCGTAGAGAGAGTGAGAGTCAAAATAAAGGAATGTCCTACTTTGTCAATTCAATCAACATATATGTGTGCTGGAATCACAGGCTCTGACAGAACGCACCAACCATGCAACATGTCACGAACTGCTAACTGGTAGCTAGAGTTTTATTTTTATCGTGTAAGTCTATCAACAGCTACCAGCACTGTAGTTGGATGCGATGGCAAATAGATACAATTAGGGATGGCGGGGAGGTCCTTTTGGGTAGAGAAGCCGGTTTTGGAACCTTGACACGTGTACTAGTAGTTTCTGTTAGATTCACTAAGCTCTCTAGTTCACCATTGTCGTTGCTATTGAGATACTACTGAAAAAGTGGGTTTTGTGTTTTTGAGTGTTCCACTACACCCATCAAATTGTCGACGTTCTGTTTGAACAGTCGACCTTGGTTCGGCTTCGTCCAAAAGTCCGCAACCATATCATCAGTTGGACACCAGTCCACACTGATCTCCTTCTTTGCGACTCTGTCGCTCACAAGAAGTACCTAATGTTGATATGCTTCGTTCGCTTGCTACTAGAAGCTTTGCCATTCTTTCTAGAAGTATGGCACTCTTGTTGTCCTGATAGACTATAGTTTCTTTAACTACATAGCCTTGCTCCCGCAGGAACTGCCTCGTCCAAAGGATCAATGGCATCAGGTCATCAATTGCTACGAGTTCGCTCTCAGTCGAGCTCCTCGTGTTCAACTTCTGTTTCGTCGAAGTCAATAATGGGAAACCTGTGCCCATGGTCAATAAACCACCTCCGGTATGACCCCTCATGCTTGGATGGACTGCGAAAGAACCATCCACATACCATTTCAGTATGCCGATTCCGTCGGCTCTGAGAACTAATGGTAGCTTCCTAGTACGTCTAATGTACTGCATGAGGTGGACTAGTTTGTCCCAATCCTGCCTATCCGGTTCCTTCACTCTAGTCGTGAGAAACGAGATCGCCGTACCTGTGTCTGGTCGGGCTCTCTTCGTAGCGAACAACACCTTAGCCACCAGGCTGTGAAAGTGTTCTGCTTTGCTTGTTGGGAGCTTCTCGCAGGAGTCGTCTACTGTGAATAGGTCTTTTCGGGGCTGCACTATTTCTAGTCTTCGTGCCCCCTTCTTCTGGTACTGCCTTCTCGAAGGCTTCCAGGATTTCGTCAAAGTACTTGTACATCGACACATTGCATTGACCTTTCGACACCATTCCTGGTGATGCCAAAGGTGATGATTGTGGAATTGGTCTATGATGTGATTTGTAAACTCAATCTTTTCCCAGTGCTTGATGGAATTTCCAAAGTGTATCCTCCCCGACAGATCTTGGAGGGTCGGACCACAAGCTACAAAGATATTCAGTACACCTTCGGGAGCTACTGTCTGGCTTCCAACGAGCCCGACAAGCTCAACTCCATGGAGCCCCGGCGATTGGACTGCATTTATCTCTGTCCCTTGATGGACAACCACCAAGGTGGGCACAGTGTGATGGACCTTGTCACCTTTGAAGTCATCACGCGCCAGCATGTCCGTATTTAGCCGATGCCTCGTTCAGTGATTGATGCTGTCGAAAAGTGGGCATACGGTGAAGGAAAGAAACCTCTCATCTTCCACAACCATAACCATGTGGAATTTTTGCCTGTAGGTTTGCCTGCAGGAGTGGATGGTGTCAACGGAAATGAGAGCTATCTACAAGTCTACGGAGACTCTTCGGACGACGACTCAGTGGAATCCAAGGAATCAGATGAAGATTCTGAGGATGGGAATGCCCCAGGGCTAGTACCAAGGGCATCCAAACAGTATGCTCCAGACATTGATTCCGATGAAGAAGGAGAAGAGGGATTCCAAGGAATCCCAACAAGCACAAGTCCAGACAACCCTACAGTCAAAAGAGACGGCACCAGCAGTGGATACCAATGATGGAAACCTCGCTGGGCCAGACAAAGCATCCAATCTTCCTAGAGTTGGAATTCGGCGCTCAGCTCGGATTGCCACAGCTGAAGCAAACAAGAAAGGAGTGACATTCGTCCAAGATGATGAAGCGAAGCAGCCACTACTTTATGAGACCGAGACAAGCAAGCACTTGGCATTATTCATGGACTCCTGTAATCACAGGAGTGCCACAGCAGAAGTCAAGGATGAGAGCAGCCATGCCCAACAGCACCTATTACCCAAGGGTCTGAAAGTGTGGGGCAACAAAGCAAGAGAGGCGGCACTCAAAGAAATGGATCAACTCCATAGCCGTGTTTGCTTCAGCCCAATTGACCCAAACAAATGCAGTGAGACAGAACTCAAGAAGGCACAAATGGCACTCATGTTTGTGACTGAGAAAAGGGATGGCACGGTCAAGGCACGTGCAGTCTACAATGGGAAACCTACAAGGGTGTACCATAAGAAAGAAGATGCCAGAAGCCCAACAGTTTCACTTGAGGGTCTGATGCTGTCTATGTGTGTTGATGCCTCAGAAGACAGGGATGTCATGTCATTGGATGTCCCTAATGCCTTTATCCAAACTCCAATGCCAGTTGTCAAGCCAGGTGAAGACAGGGTCCTCATGATCATTGAGGGAACCCTTGCAGACCTGCTTGTGGAAATTGACCCTGACACTTATTCTTCATTCCTGACATACAAAAGATGACGTTCTGTCCTCTATGTTGTCGTGGAGAGAGCCATTTATGGCATGGTATTGGCGGCACTGCTTTGGTACAAGCTATTCAGAAGTGACCTTGAGCAGATTGGATTTGTGTTTAGGGGGTTTAATTACTTATTTAGGTTAACAACCTATTGGGTCCGGAGGACCTTTTTCTACGCTGGCACGTGATGAGCCCGAGGGCCCAAACAGCTGAGTCGTATACCATTGATGAATTGCACGATAGGAAGATTCACGGTGCACACCAAGCGTCAACACTGAAGGAGGATATGCCTCATAGTAGCACGGCTACACTATCCTATAGTCTCACCGCCGTTCACCTCCGCCCCATGAACAAGGGGCAGGTCCCTACAGCTCTACTTACAACGGAAGTGTGCATCTTCCCATCATGACCTGGAGCACGGTGGCCTAGCCAGGATTTAACCTATTAGAAGGGCGCTGATCGACAATAGTCATCATCGATCCACCTCCACCACAGGTGCGTCTGAGTGATCAGGTCCCATGCTGTGGCCATTGCCTTGTCATGCAGGGCAAGATGCCAGCAGAGTCCATAGGCGGTGGCGCATCTAAGACTGGACCATGTCAGGGTATGACCTATCCAGTGGGCGAACAATGTCAGGCAGAAGCCGACAAAGAGCCATTGTTGGCCGGTCTAGATATTTAGCGGACCCGGATAAGAAAAAGACCGCACCACCGTAGGAGTCGTAGAATTTAAGGAAACTGGCATTCTCAGACCAGACTTCAAAGCGACCAGCCAGAAAGATCACTTTTTCTTCACAGCTCGCCCAAATCAACAAATTAACCTTGATATTACTAGTAGCTGCAGTGTTATTAGACCCAACACTGTGAAGAAAAAGGGTTTGTATTGAGTTTGTCCATGGTATTGGTATTGTAATAGTGAGAAAGAACTGAGAGAAACAGCAGGCTCAGGTATTGAGCAGAGGTGCGCTGCAGCCTCACTATAAAGGCAAAGCAACAGAGCTAACAGAGAAAATTCGCCTCACATTTTCGCTCATTCCAAGCTCTCGGAGCATCGGCCGATCGACTTGTCGACCGATTCAGAGCAAACCAAGCACATCAGCGTCGAGAGCACAGCTAGCCGGTCCATATTGATGCTTGAACCAAGGTCGTCCGACAAGAATTGAAGGAGTAATCGCCGATCGCGTGTTTGGGTACCCACTCTACGAGCAAAAGCCGATCGACGCGAACGAACACGACGACCGAACAAGAGAGATACAGCTACGGCCGCATACAGAGATCGAAAGAGGACCTATTGCCGCCTATGCCACGACAAGTGCAAGCTCTCAACTCCGAAAATTGAGCAAGATATCGCCGATCGAGTCAAGCAGTGCTGAAGCCCGGGATTCCTACAGCCCGACAGTACTCGACGCAGTGAAACTCAAGGAAGAAGACTCTCGAGCCTATGCAACTCAACCAGTAGTCAACTACAACCCAATACAAGTATCTAAACAAGAAGAAGGTTCGAGAGTCTTCTTCCTTGAGTTTCACTGCGTCGAGTACTGTCGGGCTGTAGAATCCCGGGGCTTCAGCATGCTTGACTCGATCGGCGATTGAAGAAGAAGCTTCGAGTCGACCGATAGAGTCATCGGTAGTACACTCCAAGCCCAAACGGTGGAATTTTCGTGTGTGTGACAAGAGCCACGATTTTCGCGCAGATAGGAACAAGCCAAGTTTAAGGCTGGAGCAGTCACAGGAGTGGCAATATAGACCCATAAGAGGCTACCTGATCAATAGGAAAGAGGAACCCCCTCAAGCTCCACCAAGCGTCCAAGTACACCGTATCCAGTACAAGCCCACGCAGCCAGTAATTCCTCAAGGCAAATAGACCATATCAAGAGCAAGATGACACGATTCAACAACAGAGGAGGCCGTGGCAACAGAGGAGGAGGCAGAGGCTCCTCCGGCAGAGGCCAAGGCGCCGGTAGAGGCGGTGCCAGTGGTGGCGGTAGAGGCAGAGGACAAAGCAACCGCCGCAAGTACCTGTTCCATCCCAATGACAGGCTGACTCCAGATTTTATCCGTTACAGAGACATTGAACCACATTGTGGCTACTTTCAGAACCAGGTCAGAGTGAAGACGTTCCCAAAGCGTCACTGGCCATTGAGACTATGCAAGATACCAGACGCCGACAGAGCCAACGGAACCATCCTATACTACGGATGCTGACGGCAGAAGATATATGACGAGCTCAGCTAACTCTCTACAAGAATAAGTTATCTACTTGGCAGAACAGGAAACTGAGTACAAGAATGCACCTACAGAATGGGGCAGCCAGCATCTACCAGTGTTTATTGTACCGAACAGATGAAGAGAAGCTACGAAATCTCCATGACTGGGAGCAAGATCAAAACTCGATCCCATTAAAGTCCTAGGCAAGATCCGAGGATGACTGCCGCAGGCACCACCAGAGCATCCCGTTGTCCAGTTCGTCAGCCAGTTACAGCGTGCCCTTTCCCCCAAGCAAAGGAAGGAGAACCGACTGATGTCTTTCTCGGTAGAGTGGCTGCCGACTCGGTTCAGATTACTGCATCGTTGGCACAGGATACAATGGATTGTTTCCTTCTGAAGCAGCCGAGTACGAGAAGATCAAGGATGACCAAGATCAAGGTGAAAGAATACCTGAATGACGGACGCAACGAGATCATTGCTCTAATTGGCTACAGAGGGTTAT